CCAGCACCACTTTTCTCTGTGACTAGCAGTGAAACAGTGGGCGTACGTACCCAACAGGCGTTCTCCGCCACACGTGCCCAGGGGGCATGGGCATGAGCGAGCCTGCTCCCTCCCCCCCTAGGATCATGAGAGGCTGGCGGGCACCCGCCCGGCCCGGGTCTCAGACTCCCAGAGCGCTCCGGGGGCGCTTCGGCCCCTCCCTGCCCTCCTGGGGTCGCTGGTGGCGCTGGGCTTCCTTCCGTGCACAGCCACCCATTCCGGATCTGGGTGCCCCTCCCTGCTAGGGCACAAAGAGCCCACCTGGAGCAGCCCAAGAAACTAGACAGAAGGTGCTTTGTGAGGTCTATTCTTCCTTCCTGTGGAGAGCTGCGGCCCCCAGCAAAGCCTCCCCAAAGCAGGGGTACGTGATAGGAGCGCTGGTCCCCGACCCTGAGCCAGAGCGCTTCATCGGCTGCCTGTGGTGGCGATGGCAGGAGGCGGCTTTGGGAAAGCCATCTGCTTAGAGCCTGGACCCCCATTTTGGACAGGCGGCTCTGGTGGATTCTTGGAGCCCCAGGCCACCCCCCCACTGCCCCATGGCAGCCGCCAGGTACACTGCGTGGAAGGCTTTTGTCCATTAGAGGGTCCAAGAGGCATTCCCTTTCACAGTGAACCGTGAGCTGACTTTTGGCCCAGTGAGGATGGTGTGTGTGCTGCATCAGTGGGGGGAGGGGGTTCTCAGTGGGTGGAAAGGGTCCAACCAAGTCAAACCACTGGGCTTAGCAGACGTCCCTCCCGCTCTGTCCCACAGCTTTTGGTCTTGTTCGCTCTACTGAAAGTAAATGCAAAATCTCGAAGACTTTCCAGACTTCTGGGGTGGGGGCAGAGGGTGTCCCTCTGTGTCCCTCTTCAGGGTAAAATGAGGGCCAGTGTGTAAAGTGCAGTGACCCTCTCCTGTGGCTGTGATCATCCATCTAGAACAAGTCTGCTTGCCCCTGGCTTAGAAGGGACCTTAAACTTGATCTTCTCTAGCTTAGCAGTCCAACCACTTGGATCTTGGCCCAAGGACAGCATCCATCTGTCAGACCAGGTACAGTGACCAAGATGATGGAATAACAGTGATCTTTGTTCAGGGTACAGAGCATGGTCTAGAAAATAAAATAAAAACAAAAACAAAAGTGAAAAGGCCAACTTTCCAGGTGCTCTCTGGAACATTGTCTCAGATGAGTCTTAAGTAAGCCTGGAGCACCCATCTTACAGAGGAGCAAACTGAGGCTCGGAAAAGCTGAGGACAAGTCCTAGGCAGAGGCCCAAGGATTGGAAGCCCCTGGAGCAGGGCTGGCAGGACTGCAGAGTGGGGAGGTGAGGATGGAGAGGAGCCTGAGGGGGAGCGCCCTGTTGGGCTCTGTTCCCCCAAAAGAGGGCTAGTGGGTCTCTGCGGCCACATTTAAAAGTAGATGGAAGGTAGAGGGCGGCTGGATGGCCTTAGTGGCCTTATGGCGACAGCAGGAAGTCTACCAGAGGGAAGTGTTGGCCTGGACACACGGTGGGGTTGGGCAGGTGACAGGCGAATCGAGTGGCCTTAGGGTTACCCCAGTGACGGACTGCCTGGGAGGACTCAAAGGGCAGGATGGCCCAGCAACAGCAGAAGGGGTGGCCCTAGGGGGCCCCTCTGCAGGAGCGGCCGCAGGATGCTGCAGGCACCTTTGCCTGCCCTCCCCACCCCCTCTTCCCAGCCTCTTCCTCTCAGGGGCCCCCTCTGCTCAAGGTCATGTGGTCCAGGGGCCAGAAGCCCCCCAACCCCACAGACCTTGGATGGTTCCCCACATGGGGGCCCAGGAGGGTTGGAGCTTAGCACAAGGGCCATGTAAGTGCACCTGCTTGGCAACCAGACTTGGAGGCGGGAATCTCAGAAAGGGAAGGGCCTGTGGAGCTGACCTGGACAGACAGCTGACAAGCCACTGTGAGGTTGTGCTGTCTTTTCTGACCCCTCTTTCTGAGGCCAGACTGACCTGACTGCCACGAGATTCCTCACCACCTCCGTCTCATGCTTTTCCACTGCAGCGCTACGCGTGCAGGGCCCTCGCTCCAGCTCAGGGGTTGGTCACCTTCTTACTGGACTGGTCTTGTGAATAAAGTTTTATTGGAACTCAGCCGTGCTCACTGAGCTGTCTGTGGCTGCTTTAGTGCTGCAAGTCAGAGCTGAGCGGTTGCACAGAGACTGTCGGGCCCACAAAGCCCAAAACATTTGCTGTCTCGCCCGTTGTGGAAAAGGTTTGCTGATGCTGGTCCAGCTGAAGTAGGAGTTACACGTGTGCACAGACCCGGATTTACTGGCCAGAGAGCTCCCTCCCTGCGTCTCCCCGTCCCTCTCTCCCCTCTCGCAACTCCGCCTCTGACTTATGCTCAACCTCCCTGTTATGGTCCTTCTCCATTCCCCCCACCCCATTTCTCTCCAAGTATTTTATTAGGGTGGGGAGGTAATTCGGTTTATTTATTTTTTTAGTGACGGTACTGGGGATTGAACCCAGGACCTCATACATGCTAGGCATGCACTCTACCACTGAGCTGTACCCTCCCTGCTCCAAGTATTTTAAATTAATGTGTCAGAAGGACTTTTCCGCACCACCTTCCCTACCCACGTGGCCCACCTGCCCAGTGTCTCCTCTCCTCCCACCTGTTCCCACGAATGGGAGTTGGGTGGACCTGTCCCGCCATGAGGTTCTAGGAGAGAGAGCCTTCCTGCTGTGAGCCAGCCACCAGGAGGACAGCAAGCTGCCTCACTCCAGGAGGCAGTAAAATGAACTTTCTTCGGAAGTTAATTCCACTCCTCATCCTCCCAGAGAGGGGACCTGTGTCCCCGCGGAGTCCTTCACAGAGAGGTCGCCAGGCACCGCCAGAGGAGGTATCCAGACAGAGATGGGTGTGGGTGCTTCAGACTTTGAGATCTGCCTTGGGTCAGCCTCCCCACCCCCCACTCAGAAAGATGCTGTCGAGGAGGCATGGAAGAGGGGGGTCAGGGATGGCTGAGCCGAGGGGCCGGTCTCTGCAGGAACCAAAACCCAGAACCCTCCACCCTTGTGCAGCCTGGTGATCAGGCCCCAAAGCCACAGGGTGCCCGCTCAGCAGGGCCCTTAGGGGAGTCCTGGCTCTTGGGAGTTGATGGGACTGAGACCTTGAAACTGGGACTGTCCTGGGAGTTCCAGGACATGAGGTCACGGTATCCACAGAACTTTTTAGAACCAAGGTGGTCCCCCGACTACAGAGGGACCCCTCAGCTCTGTACTGGCTTTGCAAATATTTGACACGAGGGGTCCCAGCCTGTCTCTGAAGCAGTGCCCATGAGGGAGTTGGGGAGCCCCTTGTTCCACACCAGAAAGGGGAAGAAGGGAAGAGTGACCTGCCCACTGAGATGAGGGATCTGGGGCCAAGTGTCCCCACAAGGGGCGTCTGCTGAGAGCCAGCCTCCAGCAGCCCTGGCTGCCCTGAAGGTGTCATCTCACAGCGTCTCTTCCCAGCTGAGAGGGAGGCAGCCCCAGGTCAGCTGGAGACCTGACAGGCATCTGGCTGGTCCCTGAGCCCCAGTAGGGAGGCCAGTGGTCCCAAGTTCCCAGACTTCCTGCAGCCGGTCCCTGCCCTCATCCCCCAGCAGGCGCTCTGTCTTCTGCCACCGTGGGGAAGCAACACACCCACTGCAGGGGGGAGCCCTGCAGTCCCCACACTGGGCTCCTTTGTGTTCTTTGTCCCAGGCACCAGAGTGCTCCCTGGAACAAGTGACCCATGTGACGCTCCTCCAGCAGCCAGGCACCGATGGCCTCTCGCCCAGGCTCCTCTGCATACTCGTTTGGTCGTGTTTATTCATCCCGGAGCCTGCCTGCTCCCTTGTCTGGTCATTCCTAGGAGCCTGTCTCCACACCAGGCGGCCAGAGTCCCTTGCACCGGCCAGGGAGCTTGTGGCGGCAGGAGGCAGCTTTTCTCTCCAGTGAGCCACGGGAAATCAAAACAGCGTGTGATTTATCCCTCTCCAAGGCAGGCAGCAAGGACAGGAGTGGCCAGAGTCCTGTCCCTCGTTTCAGCCCCCTCCTCCTGGTGCTGCCGATGAAGAGGAGGGGACGGATGCAGTGAAATCTCTCCTCCAACTCGTGGCTCTGATCCTCCGTAAAGGACCCAAGAGACAGTGAAGCCAGGGTGGGAATGAGGCATCTTGGAGTCAGACTTCCTCCCCAGATGGGCTGTTGGGACCCAAGGAGCAAACATTAGCTGCCAGTTGAAGGATGTGGGTGGGAAAGAGGCAGCCGTCTAAGCGCTGGTCCAGAGCTACCTGGGGGTGCAGGATGAGAGCCGCTGTGCCCACCTGACTCGGGCCAGCTGAGCCCCGAGAAGAGCATCACTGGCAGCCCCAGCCCAGGCACGATGCGCGACGTGCTGTGGAGGTTGCTGCAGCCTCAGGGACCTTTATGAGAGCTTTATGTGCCCCCTGGGGTTCCCTTCCCTAGAGTGAACCAGTGGCACATCTTTGGAGGCAGCTGTGGTGGGAAAGAGAGGAGGGGCTGAGAGGTGGCATCTCAAACAGCTTCTGCTGCCACCTGGGGCTTCGCCTGCCCTCCAAACAGCAGGTGCGAGAAGTAAGCTTCCTCTTGCTCTGACCAGGAGAGATGCCCACCGCACCAGGCTGACGTGGGGACCGGGACCAACTTGGCCTTCTGCCCTGAGAAACCATGACTGTTTCAGGCCACGCACCTGACACAGTTGAGCATGACGCCCACCCCCAGAGCCCACCTTTGCACGCAGACTGCCTGGTGGACGGCCCCCTCCTTTATGCCAACCTAGCTGTGGGCCCAGAAGGGAATTTCAGTCTGTGCTGAGGCTCTGGCCTGCCCCGAGTTGGGTGTGTTGGGAGCCAGGAAGGCAGGCTGCCGGGATGTGCTCACATGATAGGAACCTTGTGCCCCTAGCTGGCTTCTCCCCTTTCTCTCCGCACCCCTGCTCACCAGCCTCGTGTTTCTTTTTCCATCTGCCAGGCAATACTGGGCGCTCCGCCCTGTGCAGAGGCCGCCTAGCCACGTCCCCTGGGAGTGCTGTCTGGGCCTGATTGGAAAACTGGAGAAGAGGCCCTGCGATTGATGAGTGTGCCTTGGGAGTCGGTGAACAGGTGATACAGGAGGCCAGGATGGGTCAGAAGGTCACTGGAGGGATCAAGACTGTGGACATGAGGGACCCCACGTACCGGCCCTTGAAGCAGGAGCTCCAGGGTCTGGACTACTGCAAGCCCACCCGCCTGGACCTGCTGCTGGACATGCCCCCCGTGTCCCACGACGTCCAGCTGCTCCACTCCTGGAACAACAACGACCGCTCGCTCAACGTCTTCGTGAAGGAGGACGACAAGCTCATCTTTCACCGGCATCCGGTGGCCCAGAGCACAGACGCCATCAGGGGCAAAGTCGGGTACACACGCGGGCTGCACGTGTGGCAGATCACGTGGGCCATGAGGCAGCGGGGCACCCATGCCGTGGTGGGCGTGGCGACGGCGGACGCCCCCCTGCACTCTGTTGGGTACACGACGCTCGTGGGGAATAACCATGAGTCCTGGGGCTGGGACTTGGGACGCAACCGGCTCTACCACGATGGCAAAAACCAGCCGAGCAAAACGTACCCGGCCTTTCTGGAGCCGGACGAGACGTTCATTGTCCCTGACTCCTTCCTGGTGGCCCTGGATATGGACGACGGGACCCTGAGTTTCATTGTGGATGGACAGTACATGGGAGTAGCTTTTCGGGGACTCAAGGGCAAAAAACTCTATCCTGTAGTGAGCGCCGTCTGGGGCCACTGTGAGATCCGCATGCGCTACTTGAACGGACTTGACCGTAAGTGTCCTCTGCGCCGTCCAAAGTGGCAGTGTCCCTGGACTTCCCGTGTTCCCCTTGGCCTGGCTGAACCTGGCTGAAAGTTTACAGTTGTTGAAATTTAAATATCTTTATCCCAGCATTCAGATCCTCAGAGGTGACTCTTGCCTGCCTCTGGTTAAAGGAGGATTTCTAGCCAGAGTCTGCCAGATTTCCTGTCAGCACCTGTGGATGGATGGATGGATGGATGGATGGATGGATGGATGGATGGATGAATGGACGGGTGGATGAGTGGATGGGTGGATGGGTGGATGGGATAGATGAGTGGTGGATGGATGGGTGAGTAGATGGGTGGATGGATGGATGGTTGGATGGGTGAATGAGCAGGTGGGTGGATGGGTGGATGGATGGATGGATGAATAAATGAGTGAATAGGTGGATGGATGGTCTTTGGTAGATGTGATTGACCTGCCTCCAGGTTTGACCTGCAACTGACTACTTTCTAGCACAGTAGCCAGCATGGTATTGAGCTGGGCTTTGCGGCTTTGGGGGTACTAGGGCCTCTCACATAAATGAAAGCCAGTGAGCTCCTCTGGGACACAGTTCCCTGAGAGGAGCTTATTCAGTGTCAGGAGGCCTTTGGAGAGGAGAATGTGGATTAGAATCAGGCTGAGTCAGCAGCAACTTCCACCAGTCCCTTTGGAGAAGAGAGTGGCCTTTCTTAGACCACGTGTGTAAACAGCCTACATGTCCTGGTAGCACACAGCAGCACAGGCCTGGCATGGGAAGTGGAGAGCTCTGTGGCTTTGTGGCTGGGAGCCCATGGTGGCAGGAGACCGCAGGGTTCCAGAACATGTTTGACCCTCACTCCTTTGCGAGTCCATTCTACCATCTGCAGATGTCACCTTTGGAAAGGGGGTGGGCCAGAAAGCTTCGTCCACCCATGCACTGACCTCTTTAGGGGTGGGCTTGGCCTGGCATCCCTGGGATCTAGCCCCACTCGCAGCCCAGGTGAGTGGTGGACGAAGCCCTGGCCAGGGGTCAGGACAGACACTTCCTCTGGTCTTGCAGGCTCCAAACTTTCAGGTTCTCCCATTCCTCCTTCAGTTTGCAGAAGATACCAGAGAAAACATCCAGGACCATTAGGCAGAGCTAACTCTTAAAATGTTTCTCTTTGGAAGCCTCTTTCTGTCGCTGTCCCTCTTAGGCTCTGCCTGGGCGGTGACAGCGAGCGCACAGCCAGGCAGGGCATCTGCCTCACCTGTGCAGGTGGTGCAGGCGACCTGGCACCCTAGGCCGTGGGGCTCTGCGGGGCAGCCAGGTGTGCGTCCTGCAGGTAACCTCAGACCTGGTCTAGGGAACCAGCAGGGCGAGTTCTGTGAGTCTGTCTCCCCAGGTGACAGGGTAAAAAGTCCACAGCCAAATCTGCCCTGTGCAGGGATGGGCAAGGATTGGGAGCCCTGGGATCTAGAATCTCAGGGGACCCTGGCCCGCAGCCCTACCTCCCTCTTTCTGGCAGAGTGACCACGGCCTGTTCTGTACAGATAGACAAGCGAATTGTTGGGCCAGTCACATCATTGCCAGGCCCCTGGGACTGCTGGTCTCCACAAGAGCCGTGCAGCCCTATCCGTTCTGGAAACAGGGCCATCGGTGCAGTGAGGGCATGGCTTTACTGTTCACGTGCCCAGCTCCAAGGCAGAACACAGGCTCCAGAGTGGCCGGGAGGGGACTGGAGCCTGTTCACCCGCGGCAAGTCAGGGCATGCGCGAGCAGAGCGGTTTCCCGCCGAGTCAGGACAAGGCTCAGCAGCCGGTCTGCCAGCACATTCTTGGAGCCCCAGCGGTGTCATAGGTATAGGCCCTGTCAGCTCTGTATCAGATGGGAGGTCGCATGCTTTCATCATTTTTGGGGTTTGGGAAATGTAAACGGGGCTGAGGCAGGGAGGAGCAGCATGGGCTGTGAGAATCCCACTGGTGAGCCAGACCTTGAGTGGAGACCAGGTGCCCAGTGGCTTGAGCCCCCTCAACACTCTTGGTTACCGATGGGGACCCCCTCTCTCCCCACCAGAATCATCATGACAGGCAGTGCCAGGGCCCCTTGGCTTCTTGGCTTCCCCACTTCTGGTCAGACATGAATGGGCCCCACTCTGCACTGCTGGCTGACTTCAGAGGATCCAGGTGGGGAACCCCGTGCAGTCGGTGTAGCATCCCGGGCCACTGCAAGATGTTCAATCTCATGTCCTGGAAGGGTCACTCTGGCTGCTGTGTAGAAATGGATGGTGTGGAGGAGAGTGGCCACTGCGAGGCCAGGGAGGAGCCCTGACCATTGTCCAGGGGAGAGGTGATAGGGGCTAAGGCCAGAGTGGGCACCATGGAAGTGGGGAAGTGGAATTTGAGATGCTTCCTTGACCCATCCTGGTGGCTCTGCGAGTCTGAGACAGTGGTCAGTCGGGGAGTCACCGGTGGTGGGATGGAGCTTAAACCTGGGACCCCTGGATGAAGTCACCTAGGGAGGGACAGGGAAGAGGGCTGAGGCCAAGCCCTGGGATGGACAAGGCGGGAGAAGAGGTGGAGTAGCCGTGGGGCTGGAGGAGAGAGGGCTGTCCTGGACACCAAGCGAAAAAAGGACTTCACGAAGGACAAAGTGAAGCCAGATCAAGTACACTTGTGGCTGAGACTTGTCCATCAGTTTTGGCAGTGAGGTGATCACTGGTGACCTTGTCAAGGGTCATCCGGATGGGGTGGGGTCAAAATCCTGAGACAGTGGCTGGTGTAGAGAGGAGCAGGAAGGGCCACAGGGACAAGTGACCACCAACTGGGCAGCTTCAAACAACACAAATGTGTGCAGTCCCAGGTCAGGAGGCCAGGTGTCCGAAGCCCAGGTGTGGGCAGGGCTGGTTCCTTCTGAGAGTTCGAGTCCACCCCACACCAGCACTCCTTGGCTTGTAGACACATCACTCAGTCTTGGCCTCTGTGGTCACGTGGCCTCTGTGTCTGTCCTCTTGTTATAAGGACACCAGCCATCGGATTCAGTACCCATCCTACTCCCGATAGGGCCTCATCTTAACTAATTACAACTGCAAAGACCCTGTTTCAAATAGGGTCACATGCTGAGGTTCCAGATGGTCCTGAATTTAGTGTGGGGGGCGGGTGCCATTCCACCCACGGTACCGTCCCCTTCCTGGGCTGCCACCTGGCCGGCAGACAGGACTGTGACAGACCGAGTCCAGCGCTCAGATGGTGGAGTGTCTGTCAGGTGAGGTCAAAGGGCGCCCACGTACTGGGCCCAGGAGGGTTTGCTTTCCTTTCCAAGGCAGCTGAGGAGGGAGGAATGTCAGGATCCACCCAGGGAGCAGGGTGTGACAGGCAGAAGCTCTGGCCAGGACCGGCCAAATACATCTTCTTGGTGTCAGGCCTGGACTGGACTTTGCTCTCAGTCTTGGAGGTGGTTCTGATCTGTTCCTGCTCCCAGGGATGTCTGGGAAGTCTGCTCCCTCCTCCCCTGCCCAGCCCTATCTGGCCTGGTCACCAGGTCCTGACCTCAGCAGGGAGCAGCTGTTCACAGAGAGGGTCAGCAGAGTCGCCGATGGCATGTGGATGCTGCAGTGGCCGTTTCTTCTCCCAGCCTGCCTTCCCCTGGGCACCAGGCAGACCCTTCCCCACCCCATCAGAGTCCCTGCCCCAGTGCTGGGGCCATGGGCTGAGCTGGCTGGAGCCAGAGCAAGAGCAGTGTGTCCCTATGTGACCTACCCTGTCCAGACAGCAATGATCATAGGCCACGTGCTCTGACTCTTCCCTGAAGGCTTGCGACCTCTGGGGCTGAGGCTGTAACCAGAGGGGCTGCTGTGGCACCTTGCTCTTTCCTGGGGCCAAGGGGCAGAGATGGCCATGGTAGTGGGGAGACAGGGCCCAGCTTGGCCCCAGGCCTGCCTGCCACATTCCCCAGAGATGCAGAAGGGAGAGGCTCCTTTGCAAGCAGCAGACTGGCCATCACTCAAGGGAGAGTCCCTGACCCATCGGTTCTCCCTGCCCCCACTGCTTTTAAAGGCATCTCCCAGTCAGGAAGCATTTCCCTGCAATTCAGCATTTTCAAATTCTCTCTTTCACGGCTCCCAGATACATTTGGTGTGGTTTGTCGTGATTGCCAGTTCAAGAAAGGCTCAGCTCTTTTCCTGTCGTTCAACTTGGTGACCTCCTCCCGGTGTCCTCCCTGGCACCTCATGTCCTGCACCTCCATTCCAGCTGGGCTCTGGGGCAGCTCCTCATCGGGGGGACTGATCACCCCACCCTACAGGGGCTTCCTTCTAGGGGAGCGGGGCCGTGGGGGGGCAGGAGAGCATATGAAGAGTGCAAACTCTCAGAACAGGGGGGCACAGAAGCAAGTCTGCCCACGTGCCCTGGCCGGGTGTCCGGCGTCCTTCCCTGATGGGCAAGGACAAGGGTGGTATTTTGTTTTGCTTCTTTTTTGTAAGAACTGCTTCATGTAAAGGGGAAACACACATGCCCTGGGACGGTCCTCCTCCGCCCACAACTTTCCAGCATCCTTTTCGTAGAGCCTTTTCACTGCAGGCTGCCTGCAGAAGTGAGTGCAGGGCCAGTCCTGGGAGCCGGGAAGGTGTTGGATGGGAACCTCCCTGAACCAGGCACTTCCTGACTTGAGATGTTCATCCTTGACCTCACAGCCCCGAAGTTCATTCACTTAGCCCACGAACAGGACGCCAGGCTCTGGGGGCGCCGGCTGGGTTGCAGTCTCTTGGAGAACTGGGAGACGGCCCCGCCGTCTGTTCAAATAGACCACCGGGTGCTCATTTCTCCTGGAAATGTGGAAGTGGGAGTGTGGTCTCGTCCAGTTCCTCAACCTTCTGCTCCCGTAAATAGCGCCAGCGTCACTTCCTGATTCCTGTGCTGCTCTCTGGGCGCCACCCCCTCTCATTCATATAAACTATGTAAATGAGCAGGCGCCTAGGCTTCCTGGAGGTGGGCATTGCGGCCAGAGGCCCCTCGTGCCTCCGAGGAAGAGCACTGGGCACTGGCCGTGTGGATGGAGTTGGATGCAGAACCTGCCGCCCCCAGTCCAAAGTGTTGAGGTTGGGGGAGGCCCCCAGAGTCCTGTTAGCGACCAACCAAAATGTGTGGGACAGATGTTTCTCCTGGCACAGTGCCCACGTCCATTTCTGTAGCCTCGCGCTGGGTCTCTGCAATCAGACCGTGACCCTGAGCATCACTGTTTTGCCTCCTGCGAGATCAGTGGGGGTGGGAATGACCTGCTGTCTTGGAAATGTTTATTCCTGAGGATGTTGGTGAGTGGACCTGAAACCCGCGTAAGCCAGGAGGTGATGATGGGAACTCCCTCTCTGCCCTCCCCCCACAGCCCAGTAGGGCTCTCAGCCACGGTCAAAGGCTCTTAATGGTTTCTCAAGTGCCTTGGGCCACCAGGGGAAGCCCTCTGCCTCCCAGTGGGAGCTGAGCCACATCCTTGTAGGACAAGGCGCTGGGGGAAGATGGAAGAGAGGGGAGCCCAGTTCCCCTACTCGATCGCTCAGAGGACCACTCCCTCCACAACAGCTGGTCCAGCCGAGAGCTGCTGTGAGGAGTTGCTGGCCTTCAGGACCTCAGCCAGTGGGACTTTGGGGAGCCTCTGGTCCAGATCCCTTATCTTACGATGGATGGGGAAACTGAGGCCCAGGCAGAGGGAGTGATCTGCTCGAGGTCAGGCTGCTGTGCAGGGTGGAAGTGAAGGACCAGGTCAGGGATCACCGAGGCAGGACACTGTATGGTGAGGGAGACCCCAGGCTCTCCTCCCCAGGAGGACCTCGGCCTGACCCACCAGGAGTCTGTGGAATCCTTGACCCAAAAGGTCATTTAGTTCATCCTTTGCTTCCAGGGAAGGCCCTGTTTCAAAGCTTTCCATGAAAAACAGTTGTCACTTTAGCCCTGTCTCCTGTGACTGCTCCTGGGAGATGAAGACCCGTTGTTTGTCTTCCTTTAAAGCCTGGAATTCAGTAAATGCATTATCAAGCCTAAGACGTATTTTTTATTAACAGCTTTATTGAGCTATAACTCACACGCCATACAAGTCACCCATCAGCGTGCACGGTTCGCTGGCCTCTAGTGCACTCACAGCTGTGGGCCACCGCGGCGGTCCTTCTTATAGCACTTCCGTCACTCCAGAGGGAGCCTCTGCTCATTAGCGGTCATGCCTTGTCTATCCCGGCACCCTCACCAGAGGATTTGGTCTTCAGTAACAGAATTTTCAATGTTATTTTTAATATTCTAAGACACATTGGTGAATATTAAAGAACTTTAATCTACTTTTAATTGGTGGAATGAGATCTGCGCTTTATTTTGCTCACAAAAGAGTCAGGGGAGACCATGGATGAAGCCACCAATCCATTCATTTCAGCTCTTTCCATGTCCAGGACTTGGTGGAGGGGACCCCGAGCTATTCAGGTGTGCTCACCTATACCTGATTTCAGGCACAAGAGCAAGGAGTCAGCTCGGGGGGCCCCTGGCAGCCTCCAGTGCCAGGGAGGGCATGACTTTCTGGCTCCTTTTGGAGCTGAGACTTTAACTAAGACGCAGGCTGCACAGAGCCTCTTGCAAGAAGCCGGGCCCCCTGGGAACACTAGGACAGAGGTACACAGGTAGACTGCAGCTAGAAGCCCCTCTGGAACCCAGGGCCTGCGCACCTGTGCCATGAGCTGGGCCCAGGCTGCCTGGATTTGGATCCTGGCCTGTAACCCTTGCAGTTTGGTCCCCTCCGCTGTAGAGATGAGAACGGTACCCATAAACAGTTGCATTAACAACAAATGATTCCCCTCCTAAAAGTCCATGTGGGGTCTGGTGCTAGGGAGGGTCCACTCTGTGTGCCCTGGATGGACATGCATTGAAGGCCACCACTTGTCTGGTGGGTAAGAGCAGGGTCGGCCTGGGGTGGAATCCTAGCTTCACCTCCTACCAACAGTGCAACCCTGGGCAAGTAATTTGGACTCTCCACCCCTCAGTTTCCCCATCTGTAAAATGGGAATGATAATAGTACCTGCCCGTGACTATTAAACCATTCATCATGAACCATTGCCAGGATTAAATGAGTTAGTGTTCGCAGAGGGGCTTACAAAGGTGCCTGGCCCAGTTGAGTTCTCTGTGCTAGCAATTAATAGCTCATTTAAAATGTAAAATGAGTTAATTTTTAATAGCCTGTGTATTAAAACTACAGTTAATGATGCTGTTGCCTTAGTGTTGTCTGTTCTAGAACCACCCAGTGCTGTGCTAACCCAACGCTCTCTGTCTCTCCTCGGTTTCCCCAGCGGAGCCCCTGCCGCTCATGGACCTCTGCCGCCGCTCGGTGCGCCTGGCCCTGGGGAAGGAGCGCCTGGGTGAGATCCACGCGCTGCCGCTGCCCGCCTCCCTCAAGGCCTACCTCCTCTACCAGTGACTCCCCGCCCGGGGCCGCCCGCACGACAGCCCCCTGGTGCCAACTCACTGAGCCACCGCCGCGCCCCGCATCTTGGACCGGCGTTCTCAGCGTGGGAGGAAGTCCCTCTCTTCCTCTTCATCCTCTCTGGCTGCCCCGCCAGACACAGACAGCTCTGGATGCGGGCCCCTCCGTTCCCCTTCCGGACGTTGGCAGAAGTTCCCTGCATGCCGAATCACGGCCCCTCCTCGGACAAAGACACATAGAATAAACTCCTACCCTGAGCTCTGGTCTGCTCTCCGGGTAGCCTGGGGTACTCCCCCACCGGCCGAGTCCCACAGTGATGGAGCAGGTGGGAGATGCCCTGGTGCCGAGAGCAGATCCCGGGGGTGCTAAGAGGTGCTTAGACAAGGGCCGGTGCCCACCCAGCAGGGCCCGGCCACGGCAGACGAAGCTCAGGATGTCAGAAGCTCACCATGGCCACCAAGGCAGAAACCAAAATTGGACCTTCCGCAGGCACGTGAGCACCGAGCATCAGTCCTGGCTGTTGGTGCCCCCTGTACCCTGTATTTATTCTTTTAACAATAACAAAAGCCATTTATTTATTCCATTTAGAAAGGAAAGCTTGTTTGGGTCACCTCTCTCTGGAGTGTTCTGTTGCTTTTCATCCACCTGCCCCTCCCTGGGATGTGTGTGCCTCACCTGCCCTTCTCGCTGGGTCGTGTCTGTGATGTGTCCCCACATGGGCACAGGGTGTCTTTGTTTGGGTCTCTTGACCTAAGGTTTCCAGGGGGCACCAAGTTCCCAAGCGGGCCCCTCAGGGAGCATCAGCCTCACGTGCAATATGAGAGTCTTGGGGGACCAGTCGGCACGGGCTGTGGCAGCTCCCTGTGTCTCTCCTGGAAGCCACTTACCACTTGGGCTCATACGTCTTTGCCCGTGGTTTTATTTCTTTCGTCTTCTATGGGATTTGGGGTGTGGTTTCAGTTTTACTTTTGCTTTGCTACCTGAGATCTTCTACGTGCATCCTCAGAAGCTTCGGCTTCCCCGAGGACCACCTCAGCCAGGAAGGGAAGATGCGTAAGTCTCCATCCCCCGAGAAGCCAGGGGCAGGGTGGGGTGGGGGAGACCAGAGTAGAGTCGTGCATCCTAGAAGCCAGTGCAGGTCTCTGCTAAATGCCCCTGTCCACGCTCTGGGCCAGTTCATCGTGATGCCCCAGCGCTAGAGGGGCAGGGTGGGGCGGGGCGGGCAGCCAGCAGAAGACGGACACTCCCTCTCCTGCACAGCTCCCCCACGTAGCAGACCCCAGCACCTGCCACCACATTCACCATTTCTTATGTCTTGAAGTCAACTCTCTTAGAATCTGACTTCTGTCCATTTCTGTACAGGTACAATAGATGACTTTATTTGTTTAAAATGTTTAATATATATGCATATATATTTGTCTGTAAGAATCGTGTTTTAAACAGCTGCTGTAGGGTACCTTTAAAAAAAAGTGTGTATTTTTTAAAGCACAAAATTGGTGCCAAGACTGGGTGAGGAGTGTAAATTACCCCCTTATTATTTAGAGGTTTGTTTTTTTTCAGGGGGTGGCGGGGGGAGGAACCTTAACTGTAAGACTTTTGAAGATTGTCCTCACTACGGTTTCAGGTTGGGTCGTGTTTTGATGAATGTTGCACACAAGAGGGTCTCACTTATACAGATCCAGCCTTATCACCTTGACCCAGCCGTCTCCCGCAGACGCTGGACAAATCGCCGGGCTCCTTGTCATCTCTCTGCATGTCCCGCCCTCCAGCTCCCCGAACCTCAACCCCATCCTTCTTTCCTCTCAGCCCAGAGCCTTGTGGCCTGTACAGTTTTGAAACTCCCATTCTATTTTATGATGGTTGATAATAGTCAGTAACCTTATTAGAATAAAGTAAAGTTTATTAAAATAGAAAGCCACTTTGTTGTTTTTTTAATTTTATTTTTTTAATTGAACTGTAGTTGATTTACAATGTTAGTTTCAGGTGTACAGCAAAGCGATTCAGTTATACATATACATATATATATGCGGATTCTTTTCCATGGTAGCTTATTACTAGAAATTGAATATAGTTCCTTGTGCTACACAGTAGGTCCTTGCTGTTTATCTATTTTATATGTAGTAATGTAATACAAAGCCACTTCGTGCTTTGAGGGAAGGGATGGGGCATGGCTGACTCCTCCCTGGGTCCATGGTTTTCAACAGATAAGGGGGTGACCCTCCCTGACCCTTTGGGAGAGGGTGGGATGCCAGCTGGAGCCCCAGATGGAGAAGGAGACTCCTGGAAGGGGTGATCCCAGAATCTCCCCGTCCCTTTTCACAAGTTCGTGAGCCTGCAGCTCAGAGTAAGGGACTTACTGACCTAATAGGATTCTGCACATCAGTGAACACCTCTGGCTCATGGTTGAGTTGCCAGTGGACTTTTAAGAGCCCAGGTGTGGGCTCAGAGTCCAGGCTCTGGGCACTCAGTGGAAGGAGCTGGAACTTCACTCATCTTCGTGTACCCAGTGCCAAGCGCATAGTGATGCCAAGTGAACTCGTTCTGCCTGCCACTGTGAGCAGGGTCTCCCCTCCCCACACCCCAGCACAGCAGAGAAGACAGGAAATTCCGGCTTAGAGAATTGGTGAGAAAGTGAACAGTCAAGAAATTCACTAGATATGATCATGTGCTATGACTAGTTTCCAAAGAATTAACAAGGGTGCATTCAGCTCCCTTTGGGCGCTTTTCATTCTAAAGGCATGTCAGAATCCGTGGTGCTGGGAAAAGTGCCCTGGTCTGAGGGTCCAAGACCCCTGGGACCAAAGTCCTGTGTCCCTTTCTCTGACAGCCCCCTGGCCAGCTTTCTTCAGACCACCTGCGTCGGCACCACCTGGGAGATGTTTGTTAAAGTGCCCGTCTCGGGGCCCCACCTGAGATGGGCTGAATCAGCACCTCTGGGGACCAGGAATTTGCAGTTTTCTCCAGCTACCCAAGGGACCTTGTTGAAGAGCGTTTGGAGACCACTGTTGGAGACCGTGTCAGCTTTTTCTCTGGAAAAGTTGCGGGGTAAGGGGAGATTCTTTCGGTGTGTTGGTGGGCTGGTCCAGCAATGAGCACGTGGCCTCCTGAGTCAGACCTGTTCAGATGTTGGCTCTGACCCTCATGAGCTGTGTGATCTTAGATGAGCCTCCGCAAAATGGCAGTCATCACAGTGCCCATCTCGGAGGAGGGTAGCAAGAGTGAAATGAGGCTTTAGAACAGGACTGGGCATATTAACCAGCCTGCAAACAAATGCTGTAATTGCTCACGCACTTCTGTTCTGGGAAATGGCAGTTCCTGGATTGAACTTGGTTTCTGAGAATGGACCAAACGTTCCTAAACCAACTTCCTGACAAATGTTCTTTCTTCCCGGGTAAAGTCTTCAAAGATCAAGGGTGGGTATTGAGAAAAGGGACCCCTCGATGCCTTCCCCAGATGCAGCTGGAAGAAAGGGGTGGGCTGAAATTATTTTTAGGTTGGAGTTCATGTCTGGGTTGCAGTTGGGACTCCAGCTTGCTTAGAAGTGGGTGGCAGGGGGAAGTGAAGGGTCAGACGGTGGGGTAGGATGGAGGCGGGGGCTAGAAGCCTGGGGGAAATGAGGGCCTTTGTGCTGCCGGGAGACTTCTGGGGGAGCAGGGTTTCGTGCTGAAGGGAGCAGTCTTAATAAAACCATCTTGCAGACTGGCCCATGTGGTTGTAATTAATACCCTGCCTTCAAGCAGGTAGCGGGCTCTCGGGCTTGGCCGTGATGGGAAAAGCCCTCCCTCCCCCCTCGGCAGACCATCTCCTGCACACGGCTTCCCTCCCGCCCCCCCCTCCCCTGCTTCTCTTCGGTGGGGAGGGCTAGATGAGGAATGTGGATTTACTGAACCATAAAGTATGCCGGGGGAGCTGGGGAGGGGGCCGAAGACAGAGCAATTAGTTCATGCTCCAGTCCAGACACCCAAACATGGTTGGAGGCCAGCTGCAAGGAATATTTGAAATAAATGAGCTGCCTGGGGCCAGGAGTTGCTGTGTTGTCTGTGCGGGGCCATGGCAACCAGGGAGGAAATCATGAGCTAGGGACTGGGCTCTAGAATCAACAAATGATGTCCTGGCCAAGCAAACGCAGAGGAAGCCACTCAGGGCTCTCGGAGGGCTTCTCAGGGCTCAGCTGCTGGCGGGCAGGACCGGCGACCGGCCTCCTGGTGTCCTCGGCAAAATCCGGTCCCAGCTTCAGGCCTCCGTGTCCTCTGCGGGCTCTGACTTTCCCTTCTTTTTTTAAAGAAAAAAAGAAGCTAACACTTCTCTGGAACCTTTATTCCTGGGCCGGAGAACAGCTGCTGGTCTGATAATGATATTTCTGGGCAGAGAAAATGTTCTCGCTGGAAAAGCCCAGGCTGGGGAAACTAGCTAAATGGAAGGTGGCACTGACCGTGCCCCGCGTCTGTCTTCCCACCCAGCCCAGCAGTAGCCTCTTCTGGGTCTACTTTGTAGACAGGAAAAGCAGAGGCCTCATGTATCCCTTCCCTGACTCTTTTGAGGGTGGATCTCACATCCACCCCTAAGAATGCATCTCACAGAAGTGCAGGAGTAACAGGATCTCGTTTTGGGGCCTCAATTTGAAGTACAAGTACCTCTTGCATCTGAATGACCAGGTGACCTTGGGGAAAAAACAAAATCCCAGAAATTTTGATGCAGTAGAGGGGTCCCTGGGGCCCCAGAATTACATGCAAGGTTATACCCACGCAGAGCACCAACCGCTTCCCCGCCCCCGCCCCGCCACCGCCACTGTTCCCCACTTCCTGCAGAGGCCCGAGAGGGGCTGTGACCCAGAGGAGCTTGGCGAGCACCGGGGTGGAAGATTCCATGGGAATCAGCTCTACCCACCCTGCTTCAGACCGTGAGCAAAAGCCCCAGGCAGCTGGGGCTGCGACGGAAGTGCTTGTCTCAGAGGAGTGAGCAAGGTGGGTCCCAGGGGAAACGCCGGGGTTGGGGTGGAGGAGCTTCAGCCTTGGGCTCTTCCCCTGAGCCTCGGTTTCCCCCAAGGAAATTAGTCCCTGGAAAGCCAGACCAGGATCTGAGAGCTGCCCCTGCCCGAGCGCCGTCCAGTAGGGCCGGCCACTGGGGAGCTGCTCGAGGTCACTTCCCACGACCTCAGAGCCCACCCAGGACCATGTCCCCCTACGTTCCACTTCCCCTCCCACCTGTGCCCCTGGGCCCCACATTTTGAAAAATTTCAACCAAAGCCCGTTTATGAAGTACCCTCCCAATGATTTCTGTTAAGTGAAGCCGCCATTGGGCTGTTGATGACACAGACAGAGTAAACTCCAGCCCCAAAGCAAAGATCCTCACCTTCCAGCTGGTCTGTGTGTTGGGGCTGCGTGACGGGGACAGGGCCTGGACACCATCCAGAGCCAGGACAGCCCGGGATTCCAGCCCAGCTCCCCTCCTTACTGCCCAGAGGGGAATAAGAACCCCAGGAGCCTTGTTGTCCCCATCTGTGACGTGGGACCCACACTTTCCTCCCAGAGGCCACTGAGCCATCATAGGTTTAGGGCTGAGCACACCAGGGTACCGGTACGAGGCACCCCTACCTCACTATTTGACAACTGGCTCTTTTTGAAGATTGAGGTGAGATACACACATCATCAGATTCACCATTTTAAAGTGTGTCTGTGAAGAACTCAGAGCACTGCCCAGTCCATAGTAAGGGGTCAATAAAAGCAGCCGATGTGATTACTTGCACACTGCCTGAGACGCCCAGAGACACTGTCTGTGCTCCAGCCTCCAGCAGCCGCTGCACAGGAACTAGCCTTTCCCGGGAGGACATCCTGCAGGAAGTTGCCTGGGCCTGGGAGCTTCTGTCCCTCTGGATGGAAACGAGGTCACTTTTCTAAAAATCAGTCTCATAATCAGAGCAGCAGAGTGCCCAGCAGTCAGGAGCTATGTGGTCTTGCTCAGTCTCTCTGACCCCCAGTCTCCACATTGTACTAGTTTCCTGTGGCTGCTGCAAGGAGTTACTACCCTGTAAGGGTGACTTAACACAACACACATTTATTTTCTTACAGTTCTGGAAGCCAGAGGCCTAAAATCAAAGTGTGGACAGAGCCGTGCTCCCTCCGGAGGCGCTAGGGAAAAATCCTTCCTGCTTCCAGCTCCTGGAGGCTCCAGGCAGTCCTTGGCTTGTGGTCACATCCCTCCAAATTTTGCCTCCATCGTCACATGACCCTCTCCCCTCTGTGTCTCCGTGTCTGTCCTATAAGGGCAATTGGCACTGGATTTAGGGTCCTCTCGGGCTATCCAGGATGAAATCATCTCCAAATCCTTAACTCAATGGCATCTAAGACCCTTTTTCCAAATAAGATCAGTCACAGTCCTGGGGTTAGGATACAGATGTATCTTCCTAAGAGCTACCATTCAACCCTCTGGGCACATCTTTATTTTTTAATTTTTAATGGAGGTACTGGAGATTGAACCCAGGATCTTGTGCATGCTAAGCACATACTCTACCACTGAGCTATACCCACCCCCCCAATACACATACACACACACACACACACACACACACATACACACACACACACACATCTTTAGAACAGAGTTCATAACAGTACACTGATAGGATGACCATGAGAATTTATGAAACGATGAAGGTAGAAAACACAGCCAAGGCCAGGCCTGTGATGAATGCTGCCAAAGGGGCAAGAAGTCCCTGCATTATTAGCCACAGTCCCACCTACCCCTGCCCCAGCCACCTACAGCCAGTCCCACGAGAGCAGGTCAGCTCTGGATTGATGGATGTTTTCTACGAGGTGGGCGCCCAGGCTGTGCATGGAAACTTCAGGGCCAGGCTCAGGCCAGGATGTGGAGAGAACTGGAAACCTGTCCCTGGACAGAGGACGTGAACCCTCTCTCCGGG